CTCGGAAAGCAGTGAAGAATATCCTAAGTGAGATCGGCCTTGAAGACTGTCAGAACTGGCTAAAGGTATGTTTTATTTTTAATTTTCCAAAGTTCACAACACATCTTACTAGTTTTATTTATCGCTAGGCTACAAATGTAACGTTGCGACTGACCCCCATTACGTTCTCTACATGACTTTACATGGTAACTGTGTGACTGCACACGCTGGCCCTACAAATTATGCAAATAATTTAGCAATACAGCAACCTCAGTGGACTCCAAAGAAGAAAAAAGTCTTCTATATCGTCTAAAAAAAAAGATGTTTTTATTCGTAAGAAAGGTCCTGGGACTGTGCCTAATGAGCCAACAGAAGTTCTACGTCTTTTAGGTATTTTCTAATGAGCCATGTCATCTAAATAAACATTCCTGATACTGATATGATCTTTTTAAAATGAAATGATACCTTCCACCTAAGCTAAATTTTAGTTGTGAGAATAGCTTTTATGTTCTGGATTTTAAACTTAACTTGAAATCAAGACCAAATTAATAGCTTTTTTTGGCCAAACGTATCAGTAGATCGATTCAGCATCAATTGTATGTTAATACTCTCCCTTTAAAAGGTGTTGTGGAAGGCTTATTATTATTAGAAATAGCACAACTCTACAGTCTGATGAAATCAGATCATTATTAGGGTGGGGCAGTATGGAGAAAAAATTTTTTAAATTGGAAGATTTCAGTTTCCTTCTGTAATTCCCCTCTTTATAAAACATATGCTGGGGCATTTGTTTTAAGAAAGAGTTCGATTTTATTTTTATCCCCAAAAATTTATAGAAGAATTGAACCACTCAGATAAGCCTTTTCTTTCCATTTTAGCTTATTAAGCTAAAAAAGGAGGTGGAGATAAAGCTTAATACGGAATTATAGTCATTATTTCATTAGTGCAGCAACATACCTTGATTTTCCAGGTACAACAGCCGATAAACACAAGATCTATTCAGGGTAGCAACAATTAAAATGTATAGACTTGATGGTTTAAGAGTGGATATTTTAATTTTTTGGGATGTCTCTATTCCACTCTTCAAGGGATGTTTTGTAATATGGTTTTGCTTATTCTACACAGGAGCTAGATGAAAACCAAGATGAGAAAAACTCAGAAGAGGAGGAAGCTTTTCAAGGAACAGATTGGATTGATATCACAGAGGGATTCAGTATCCGACAGCAGAAGAAGGTGATTTTCTTTATTTTTCCACCAGGATGACTTGCATGTTGTTTACAATAAACCTAGTATTTTCCCTCTGCATAAAAAAATAAAATTCCAATTATACTAATATTTGACCATCTTTAAGAGCAGCTAAATTATGTAGCATCTGAGAGAAGTTTGTTTTGAACACCCTAAAAATTAACCTGATCTTCCTATTGTATCTCTCTAGTGGCCCTATCGGTCTCGATCTCTGTGCTGCACCCTCTGCAAATACTCGTCACAAAACCTCTACAACTTCAGAAGTCACATCTCTCGCTGCCATGCGTATGTACAGACATATTGTACGCTGGTCCCTTGCTCCCAATGCCTCTTCATCTCTCACCCCAAGATCGTTAAGAAGCACATGCTCTACTTCCACGCCAAACTGCCCGTCCCAAACATGCAGATACAGAAGGAAGCTTCGTTCACCCATCGCTCGGCTGAGAGGTATCACTGTCGAAGGTGTGGATTCCCAAGCTCCTCCATCTTCGCCATAAAGAAGCACATCATTCTCAAGCACCTCGAACACTTGGCCCAGCAGTACATCGGTTATAGATTACACCAGCAGGCGTCTACGGCTGTAAAGATCTACTGCTGCAAGGTGTGCAAGGTGAACACTGGAACTCTGGACCAAATGCTGCACCACATGTTGGTCGAGCCGTCACACTACACAGTCACCACACAGGTGCAGAGTCTAATAACAGAAAACAAGAACTACGCCGGTAAAGCTACTTCTAATGGCAATGGGTTGTTGGTCACATTCCCAAATATTGCTCCCAAACCACAAACGCCTCAGATACTTCCCAATAACTCCTTAGTTGTACCCAGTAACGGCCAAACTGCCGGCACAGTGGTAGCCGTGCAGCAGCTGCAGGGAAATGCAAATAGTACGACTCTGATCTGTGCCCCTGGAACCAACCAAGCTTTTCTGCCACCACAAGCTTCAGCATTGGTGCAGCTGGCTAGTGCTGAAGCTAAAGGTTTGCTCCAGCCTGGCGCCACGATAGCTTTAAGGAGCGCTCTGCCCCAGGGGCAGTCCGTGGTCCAGCTTCCAACAGTGTCCAATGTGTCTCTAAAGCAGAGCCCAGTCACCATATCTTCTACTGTAGCTCAACCACAATTGGTTTCAACAGGGCAGCAAATGGTTCCTCCAGCAGGACCTCAGGCCAGTTTGGTTCCTGGAGCCGCCCCCAAATCTGCTGTGGCTGTTCAAAATGCACCAATAAACCACACTCCCCTCCAAGGTACCATGATGACGTCACAGTCCCTGCTGAGTCACCTCATCCCAACTGGGAACAGAGTGAATGGCATGCCTACGTACACATTCGCTCCACTCGTTTCTCAGAGAACATCCACCCCCCTCAAGCCTGTTGAGCAGTTGAGTAACTCGGCACCACAAACCAAGAAATGGATCACCTGTCCCCTCTGCAACGAACTGTTCCCTTCAAACGTCTTCGACATGCACACCGAGGCCGCCCATCAGACCAAATCAACCACTTCCAAGTCAGAAAGTGTCGCTGCCCGAGCAGCATTCCTGAAAAAAATGCCCGACAAGACTGTCAAATGCCTAACGTGCAAAGTGCTGCTAACAGATAAGATAGTCTTCCAACATTTGCTTCATGGGCTAAATTGTTTGTACTGCTCCGCTTTGTTCTTTTCGGTCAAACAGCTTGTAGAGCACGTAAAGCTGCACAATCCAGCAAGCAAGGTGTATTGTGACTTCCTCAGGCAGAAGTTTAGGATCTACTCCAAAGGTAACGGCGGCATCCTCTTTCCTCATTTTGACGTTTGCACCACCGCACCGAAGGAGGTCCTGGGAGAGGCGGAGGTCAACCTCGCCCTTGTCACGAGTTCTCTCGACTTGATTTTTTTTAAGGTGCAGGCCAGCACCCACCAAGACGTTTGCGCAGCACCCATAAAAATCCACAGCCCCTACTGTCCCTTCTGCAACGAGAGGTTTCAGAATCAATCTGATCACATCCTGCATCTGAAACAGAAGCACTTTGTTGCGCCCACCATTCATGCAATCCTGAAGACCGAGGCATTCAAATGCATTTACTGCAATGGTGTTTACACAGGAAAGGTCACCCAGCAGGCAGTGATGCTTCACATCCAGCGATGCCGCTGTTCTCCAAAGCCAGTGCAACCTCCGAAACCCCCAGGTCCCACACTGGTGCCGCAGCAACCACAACCGTTAAAACCACCTCAGCAGGTTGGTCAGCAGTCCGGACTCTACTTCCTCCAAGTGCCACAGGGAATGACGATGACAAGGACCTTAGCGCCGGCTCGTGTGATACGAGCTCCGGCCCCTGCGCCAGCCCCTGCGCCGGTCTCTGTGGAGCCCCCAGAGACTGAGGCTGAGCGGCAGCTCAAGAGGAAGCTGGAGGCCGCATTGAAGGAGGCGATGGAGGCCAACAGGCGAGAGCGGGAAGAGAGAGCCGCCCTGCGCAAGAAGAGGGAGCAAGAGAGACGGGAAAGGGAGAAGGAGCTGCAGGAGCAGAAGCAAGCCCCCCCACCAGAGCCAGAGGTCCAGAGCGACCCTTCGGTCAAACTTGTGTTGGAACCGACCACTGTGGAGCGACGCTGCAGTGAGGAGCGCCGAGAGTTCATCTCAAAGTACTTCAACGCCAACCCTTACGCAACCAAACCGGAGACCGAGGAGCTGTGCAGGAGGCTGTCTGTGACCAAATCAGAGCTGGCTGGACAATTCAGCAAGAAGCGCAGCAAGTGCATGAAAAGCCTCAAGAGGAACACAGCTGTCATCCTGCTGGGCTTCAACATGTCGGAGGTGAATAAAGTCAAGCACAACCTTCAAATCCCCGAGCCAGAGCCGCCGGCCGACGCTGTAGAATCGGACGGAGAGGGGGAATCGGCAGCACTGCCGCCCAGCGAGGAAGAAAGGAAGGAGGTCATGGACACACCAGAACCGATGGATGATAGAGAAGCAGAGGAAGTTCCAGAGGCAGAGCAGGAGGAGCCGATGGAATGAGAGCAGAAATGCTTTGATATCTGGACTAGATATTGGAAAAATCAAAACAGAAACTCCTTTGTTTTCAGTCATGGAGAGGCAACCTTTTCATAATATCCCAGCTATCCTGTAACTGAGGGCGGTTCGTCGATGTAGACGTCATTACCAGTGCTTTGTTCAGCCTCCGTATGCTATCAGTGCTCCTTATTCTAATCTCCACACAGATGCAGCGACATGTCATCAGTGCTTTTCTAAAACATAAAGATTACACCAATGTTGAGGCAGTATTTTCATAGATATAAACATTTACAACAAACATCACACTTTAGTTCTGTCGCCCACCCACTTAGCTGCCTTGCACACCCATTAAAGCCCCTCTGTCTATGAATTGAATCTTTTCCAAGTTAAAATAGATTTATTTCAGACCTTGCCTTATAAGTCTGACCTGAGTTCTATAATGTGACCACAGCTGCTGGTTTTGTATTTTTCTTTTCACATTATGATATATTTTGCGTGTTTTTCAGACCAAATTCTCCCTCTAAATTACCACAGCAAACCATTTTTAGGCTTGGTTTTTCTGTCAGAATGAGATAATCGGTGCCATTGTGAAGTCCACGTTTGCAAAGATTAACACAAGTTGATACATTGCTGGATAATCCTGTGCATTGTTGATGTTTTCTTGCTGCTTTTTTTTTTTTTTTTTCACTAGTATTTTCTATAACTGCTCAAATAGGAAAACTGTTGGGTTAGATATAAAATAAGTCTGTCCAGGGCCACAGTAAGTGTAAAAATTAAAATGGAAAAAATAAAGTGGTTTCTTTTCAAACAAATTATTCAGTTTTATTTCTTCATTGAAACAAATATTTAAATTGCTTTTTGCAGAAGACATCTAATAACATAAATTCATGAATTATTGGTAGTTCATTAAAAGATTATTGCTAATGTTTAAATAAACCACTCATTGGTGCAAACCTGCAAATGGGGGAATCTCAAAATCAGTGAAAAGGGATGAAGACTAGTCTAAAGACAACCGTTGTTCTCTCTCTCTTAACATTAAGTCTCAGCAAAACCAGAGTCTGAAAAAAAAATTATTAATTGCATTATCTACGTTTCTGTTCAGCTACTAATTTCGGGTTGTTTCATGGCAGCTTTGATTCGATCCAGGACTGACGGGCCGCTGTAGTTGTTGGTCTTAATGGCCTCCAGGTTCTTCAGGTACTCCTTCGGAAGCCCGTTCTGTTCAGCACCCAGGCACACCACCTTTTTTTATGTAGGAAAACAAAATGCAAAACAAAAACACGTGCAAAAAATATTAAGCCAAAAACCAAAGCCAGAACCTTGAACAAATAAACAGATTCAAGGGTGACGCTTCAGGTGTAGGTAATTTATGTTTCAAACCCTCTAAGGCCTAATATTTCTAAAACTTTGTGTGATTATATCTCTCTAGATCACACTTAATGTGATCTAGAGATTACACACATTAGATCCAAAAAGCTGTAAAACCTGCATTTTATGGATTCAAAAGTGAATCTATTCTATCATATAGAAAACTCCATAAACACTAAAAGCTAAAAACCAGAGGTGTAAAGATAAAGGTATGTGATTTATTTATATTTCATATTCATCATAATTCATAATAAAAACAATTTCCTCAAGATTTTAGAAATACAGATTTGTTATATTTCAGATGGTGGAACACATATACTTATAAAACAAAGCGGATTTTCTTTTTTCCATACCTGGAAATGATAGAGGCAAATCTGGCACATTTTCCAATACAGTGAATAAACCCTAGTCTACAAACTTCAACTGTCTAGCTGTTAATTTAAGGTGAGTTTAAGTACGTAGTCCATTATAGTCATTACGTTCACTTTGTGGAATGCCAGCAGTTGTAAAACACTCCCTTAGCATGCCTCTGCCACAACCATGCTTTAAGTTAAAAAATATGTTTTTAATTGATGCTCTATTTGGACAATAATCCCCAGTATATATCAAAAGAATGAATAAAAAAAGACTATTGAACTTCTAAATGACTATAAGTTCAATTATTTTTTAAATGTATTAGATTATAAACAGCTTAGAAACCAACCAGATTAGATAACCTCTGATAAAATGTCATATTTTGGATAGAACTTAACAAAAAGCTCAACAATTGCTACATACATTTTTTAAGCTGCAACTTAAGGGAAAATTTAGTTAATGGGGAAGGGCTGTATGTATAGGTAGAAAGGGAGATGTATTTTAATTGAAATGTCTTAATCAAATAGAGTGAAACAAAAATATGATTTTCCACATGAGTGTGTTTCTAGGACACCTGTTTGTACTGTGGAGATGGAGGGCTGGGGTGGAAGTTGTTCATCTGATACGTCCTGCACAGCTTCGTTCCTTGTTCAGTCTCTACGAAAACCTCCAGAGGGGAGTACTCTCCTTGGCTCACACCTTCCTGGCTACAGAAAGACATAAAAATAAAAAATAACATGTCGCTGGCAGAACTGTACCAATGTCCTGATGAACCTTTAACCAGCCGCATGTCTCACCTGTCTAAGGTTGAGAGGTTTTCATTACTCAAGGTCCAGACCACCCCCCAAACCTCTTCCCCTGGACAGGACTCAATGGTGGCCACTCCACCGTGCCAAGAGGTTTGCACATTTTCTTCCCACAGGCCAAAGTTCAGCTTGTAGTCCTGCAGACACACATGAGGTCAGTGAGAAAATTAGGCCTATGTTCAGTCTGTTCTGCTTGAATTGTGTGTCCTTTGATTTAAGCTAACCCTACAAACGAGGAGATTGAAATATAAGCTTGTTTTTAAATGTAACTTAAGGGAGAAAAAAAGAATAAATTTGGTAGGAGAAAAATTGGGGAAAAGATTTTTTTTTTGGTTACAATATTTTGCCAGGAGCCCTTCAGTAAATATGTTATTGGTCAAAATGTATTTAAGTTGATAGACTGACAATTGAATGGGTTCTTAAAGTAATAATTTTCTAACATAAAAACTGAAGTAATATGAAAAAATAATATTTTAACTGCAACATTTAAACATACTCCTCAATCTTGGGCTTTTTATGGTAACCTAAAATAAAAATGGCTAGTAAAATTCTTTAAACAGCTTGAACACAACACAGTCTGGTCAATAAAAAGTAAAAAAAAAAAAAAACTCCATTTACATTAGTGTAACAGTAAACTCAAGAAAAATAATTAAAAGAATACTTCCTATGTAATAGAAAAGCTTAGTTACTCACTGACAGCTTGCCCTTTGCAACCCTACCTCCTGTGTTACTCTGTTGGTCAGCTCCTGCCTCACACCCTTGATGTCTCTGAATGGTAGTTTGTATACAGAATCAGGATTTGGTTTAGAAAAGATGCAAAAGCCCACTATCTGCTTTGACTTTTCATATACATAAATATGTTTAACAACTGATTTGCAGATGGCTTTAGACTTATTAAATTCTATTTGTTAATACCATAACTACCTGTGACATGCGCTTCATTTCTGCTGCTAAACATACAAAACGCCGCCTGTCTAAGGTACAGGTCCCAGCGCAAATGAATGGGGGAAAAAAATGCAACTCTAGGTTATTGGGTAGTAGCATTTCAACCTATAAAAGGTAAGAACAATTGTAGGATGTTCTAGTGCAGCTCGTAACCTCATATTCTAACCCAAACCCTTCTGTGAAATTAATCAAATGACAAAAAAAATTCTTCCCCTTTATGGATCTTTTTTGTCAATACTGTTGCTATTAAAGCTCACCTTACAACCTTAAAGGTATAGAGGACGATCTTCAAGATGGCTCATCTAAATAAGTGGTCCCCCTAATTGTCAATCATTCTGGTGATATGGTTAGTAAGGCCATCCTATGTGCATGTTCCGTTAGCTTTCTTTTTCTGCACATGCGCGCTTTCAGGCACATATCTGCGGTGAGCTACAGTTTCAGACAGGCATTGAAGCTCACCTTTCTCACCGCTGTTCTTTGAAAATGGCCGAGGGTCGTAAGAGAAAAAAGTGTCAACAAAGTGTATGAGAAGAAAAAGGCCTCAGAAGAGGCAGATATATATATCTTTGCACAGAGAGCTCTCCTCGCAACGCATTATGGGATTTGCTGTCACAGCCCGCTGTCGCCATAGGCTGTCATTAGCCTACAGCGTCGACTAATAACAAAGATGAGGCAGTAACTGCGTTGGAGTTACGTGACCAACAGGGAGCAAAAAGCAGTTATCGGTCTGATCGGTCAGTTAACTGAGTTCGCAATAAAGTCTACGATATCGTATACGATATTGTCCCTGTTCTATATAGTGATGGAGAGATTTAAGTGTTAGGGCGGACGTTCTGACACAGTAAGCTTGTATGAGCTATGAGGACAGCAACTTTGCACAAAGATAATTGGATCGTGCATGCTCACATGCATTGAATAGGTGTTTCCTCTCGGAACGGGTACAGGGTTATGCATGTGCATTTATTTTTTTAATTGAAGAGGGCGGGGCTTTTAAAAAAATCACTAAAATCCTCCACAATACCTTTAAATTATTCCTAATGATACTTGTATCACTAATTTAAGAGTCACTCCAGCTTCATCAGTCTCTCCATAATACTATCATTGTATATAATGAGTAACTGCTACAAAAACTGACATTATTTTATTTAGGAAAAGTCCTGCTGTCGTTTAAAGGAACAGTACACCCAAAACATGATTAGCCTTCATTTTCTACTCACCCCCATGCTGAACAACACTCTGGAGTACTTTTTTGATATCTCAAATGCATCTGGAGATCTGGGAGGCTTCTTGCTGTCTGCTGACATTCAAATAATGGAGGTCTACGGTGCCCGAGACAGAAAGGTCCATAAAAGTCCACAAAAAACGTGTCAATATTCCTCCATACTGCTCGTCCAATGTATTCCAAGTGTCCTGAGTGGGTAGCATCCAGAATTTACTCAAACTAATTCATTTAGAATGTTCTTAGAGCATGAACAGTAGTGTATAGGATTTCCTGAAAGCGCGTTCACGAGCCTACGGAAGCCGGCAGACCAAACCAGCGCATTCAGCTCGGCAAAGAACTCATGCTCTTCCTCAGCACTGAAGTTCTCAGACATTTTTCTTTCTTTGCACAGGTAAACAGCACATTTCTTCTTCTACGCTTGCATTATTGGCAGAGCAGACGCTGAATGCGCACTTTCATCTGGTTTGGTCTGCCGGCTTCCGTAGCGTCGTGAACGCGCATGTGCGCGCTTTCAGGAAATCCTATACACTACTGTTTATGTTCTAAAAACATTCTAAATGACTTCGTCTCGAGTAAATTCTGGATGCTACCCACTCAGGACACTTGGAATACATTGGACGAGCAGTATGGAGGAATATTGACACGTTTTTTGTGGACTTTTATGGACCTTTCTGTCTCGGACACCATAGACCTCCATTATTTGAATGTCAGCAGACAGCAAGAAGCCTCCCAGATCTCCAGATGCATTTGAGATATCAAAAAAGTACTCCAGGGTGTTGTTCAGTATGGGGGTGAGTAGAAAATGAAGGCTAATCATGTTTTGGGTGTACTATTCCTTTAAGCCTTTTTTTGCTGTTGGTAATTTGTTGAAATAAGATGACATGGACGGGTTTGCAAATGATTAAGATGAGCTCAAACAATATATTTCTAAATATAAATGTAAACTAATAAAACAAAAGCTTATAACCCAACTTTATTCATGAAAGCATTCCCCACAGCCCATTTTTAATCTTTTTCGGATCAGAATGAAGCTTCTACTTCAGTTTAGACCTGGGGTTTCTGGGTAATGTAGTTGTCAAACAGCACATTGTAATTCCTGATTAGGAGAAAAGGTCTATCGGGGTTTTCATGTCCACCAAGGTTGCAGAGCAGTTTTATTAAATTAATTTATATAATATATTTAGGTTGAGTTAAGCCACCCAGTTTTAGGTTTTTATCCTCACTAAAGTTCCCTTTATTTAAGTACCGAGCTGACATAATGGCTCCGATGGGTTGTCGTTTATTAACCCTGTTCCATATAAAGAATACATAATTTTAAATTAGTTTGATGTTAGCATGGTTTATTTAGACACAACGCGGTCATGACTACCTAGCTATGGCAAGCCAATTGCTACTTTGAGCTAAAAAACGCACCATTCATAGCATGTCAGTCAGAGTGGACCCCGCAATGATTGTAACGGCTCAGAAACTTGGGGAGCCGTCATGGGGAGTTCCACCTGCTGCACTAACCTGCGGGTTAAATAATAAAAGTATTTTATTACTCTACAACCCACTAACGATTATTTAAATACATCAAATCGTGTGTTTTCAGAAAGACATAGAAAAAAAGTGACAGTTAAATATTCAACACATTACACTAAGCGGCGCTGACGACCGCCCGAAGATGGCGCAACAACGTCAGTACCCAGAAGCGAAAGCAGTCGATGCTGCGTCTACTCTTACATGTCTATAATGGTACTAACCAGATTACGACGATAAAGGTTTATTGTATTAAATCTTACGTAATTACCAATTTCGGTCAGATTATTAGAACAAAAACGTACAAACCTTCAGTCGACCTACAGAGACGAAAACTGCCGAATGATTCTTCAGATGGAGTCTTTCCTTTAGCAAGTTGCTTCCAAACGCGAAATATAAAAAATTACCGTCGCTGGCACCCGACATTTCTAATATACATATATTAATGAGTAAAAAGATGCTTGAAATGCTAGACCACATGGGGGAGGTTGGTAACGCAAGAGCTCAGTCGATATGAACGAGTATTTAGCAGAGAGCAGCAGCAGATGGGTAACAGAGATGGCCAATCAGCTTCAAGCTTCGCCAGCGTGATCACCTACTTTTAACCAATAATTGACCCACAGGGCATCTAGTTGTATTTTAATAAAACCTTTTCCTAGCTTACTACGAACTCAACTGCCTTTATGCAAACAGAGCAGCATTGACTTTTACTGGCTATAAGTGAAAATATTTGTGGTCAGATTTAGAGCAATAAAAACAAATGAATGAATGTAGCAAATTAATAACAAAGAAGTTCATAAGCGGAACGTCTATTGTTTACAAGGACAAAAACGTTTTTTTTAATAACTCAAAAAATTGAGGGAAACAAAAACTGCTCATTTTATTTTTTATTTAGGAAGTTGAAATAATTTTTTTTTACTGATAAAGCCCCCCCCCCCCCCGGAAAAAACTATATTGCCCTTTATGTGCAAAACAAAACATCTTAAACATTGTTAAAAACAAAACATAAGAGGAGCTCTTTGTCGTCTTGTTTTATTGTACAAAAAAAGAAAAACACACTGAAATTCACAAATCATTTTCTCTGAATGGAAAAAAAGGAAAATCCTGTACAAACAGTGGAACAATGAGAAAAACCAGAAAGACCAGATGATCATCTCCTCGGTCCTCCTCGCCCTCGTCCTCTTCCTCTCCCACGTCCACGTCCTCTGCCTCGTCCCCGCCCTGCCACTGAGTGGACAGATGAAAACATTTGATCACTTTATGTGAAGATTAAACAGATTATTTCTTTAAATGTAGTTAACGAAAACCACTGTACCCTTTAAACCTAATACTGCATTTAGGATACCCATTTCAAACTGAATCACGGAACAAATGAAATACTCTATAGGCTAACTAATGAAAGGTTGATAAACTATATGACACTTGTTCAGAGCCCTAGCATTTACTCCTTTCATTCAATCAACTGTGACTAAAATGATTGGGAAGGGCAACACATTTACAGAGATAATTTTACCAAAAATTTCTGAAATCTTATAATGAAATGAGGTGTGAGACCCCCCCACTGGCTCTCTTCTCCTCCCAGATGGACATTTACACACCCTGCTGCATCAGCAGAGGTCATAACATTACAAAGGACAGCTCCCACTCTAGTTTTGTATTTTTTTTTTTAACCTGCTGCCCTCAGGGAGGCGATCCAGGTGCTTCCAAACAAAGACCAACCCATTTAAGAACAATGGAGAGAAAAACTCAAACTCTCACAGCCACTGACTCAATGGACAGCAACAGAGGTTCCTAAAGTGAGGAACACACCCCCTAAGAGGCCCAAGGGGGGCCTTGGTAAAACAAACTGTTTAAATGAATAATTTTAGACATTTTTTTAATTGACAATACTGAATTTTGTTAAACAGGTAAACTTTTATTAATTACTTACTGCAGTTAACTTTTCTTGAACTATTGAACCTTTTGGGAGGTAGAGGGTATTTCACAAGCTGTGAAAACTTTTTTGTAAAGCAAATGGGGTAGCCTGACGTAGTCCGACTCAATTCTAGTCAGAATATGAGTCTGATACTGCTTCATAGAGCTGTGATTATGGGGCGTGTTTCGAACGAACCAGGAAAGAAAATGCCTCTGCACTCAATTGGATAGATCTACAACCAATAAGAGCAACGGAGTGCGTGACGTATGTTAAGCGAGGCATAGTTGTTGTCCACAAAAATCAAAGCGTGCAGTTTCACGCCTAGAATAAGAAGATGAGACTTGATCGCGTTTCTCTGTTCCTCTTTTAAAATTAATTTGCTGTCGATATCTTCTAGAACAGACCTAATAGCAGAATCTACTCACCCAAACTCTCCAGCGGCAGCCATTATTGTTGTCACCCAAGCGCGCTTTGGTCACGTGGTTGATTACGTTACACTTGATCATCTGTCCATCATCATATAAAGCCCGCCCTGACAATTTGATTGGATCGCCTGACAGTGGGCGATAATACTCGCGATAATACTCCCAATACTATGGAGCAGAGCCAGACCGAACTTCCCGACCTCAAACGTTGTGGGCGGGACTAAGTTCGGACTGGCACCCAGGCTACAAATGGGGAGCCTAGAAAGTTAAGTTTGGGAACCATTGGCCTAAAACAAGATGAGCTAAACTCTGCAACTGTCCAAGGCTTGGTCGGTATAGGAATAAGGAAACTGAAGAATATATCAATGGTGTCAAGGCAGCAGGAAAAGAAAACCTCTTTTCCCCCTCCCCCTTACCTGCTTCTCTCTTCTTAGATTTTATCTTAGGCTCGATATCCACCAGCAAGGTGTCCAGAGGAAGGCTGTCTGGCAGGATGAAGTAGCGGATGTTGTTGCCTCTGATGCTCAACGACTCCAGCTGAGTGGGCTCCCTGTTCTTCAGGGTCATCTTCACCGCCTTCAGGTGGGTATTCATGCTCACATCAACACCTATGGAAGGAAAAAAAGAACATATAAACCCCTGAAAAGCAAAGTCACCAAAATCAGCGCATTAAGTATGCTGGCAACAGATTTCTGAACATCAAGTAAAAAAAATAATAATAATAATAATGAGACACAAACATACCAGCCTCTGTCACACCGAAAATAGTTGTGTTTTCCTAGTTATATTTTAATCAAGATTTCATATTCAACAGAGTATACCTGATAAGGTACAAGAGATAAGCCGCTACTGCTTGTTTAATGATAAAAGAGGTATTTAGGCTTATCTATTAAACTAATGTTTTGAAATGCCAATTTTAAAACAAAGCAGATCAGCACAGCTTAAACTGGGAAGACTACCTGCTTGGAAATAACAGTTTTAAATAACTACACATTCAACGGCATAACTCGGAGTCTGTTGCAGAAAACAGTCTTGTCCCATCCACCCATCTTCTCCTGCTTATTCTGTAGGAGTCACAGATCTCCAACAGTCTATGGGTGAAAAGTGGGGCACACCCTGGATAGGTTGCTTGACCATTGCAGGGCAGCACAGGGACACAACCCTCCCATATTTAACCTTACAGTCATGTTTTTAGAATATGGGTGGACACTGGAGTATCCAGAGAGAACCCACACATGCACAGGGAGAATAGGCAAACTCAATACAGAAAGACCCATGGCTGGGAATCAAACCCTTTGTGCAAGGTAACAGTGCTAAAAAATGCTGCACTGTGCAGCACTGTCTTGTAGAAAATTTAATAACCACAAACTAAATTGATAAATATGGCAGCACCCATATCTGTAACTCCGGTTTTAAAAGATTTCCAGCATTTACCTTTTAAATATATCCACCAATAATGGTTTGTAAACAGCTTAGTTATATAAAAAAACAAACAAAAATGTAATTGTTAAATGTCAAACCGAGGACTTTTTCGGTGAAATAAGAGTCCTTTATTACTTAAATGTTTACAGTGGAGTAATATAATGGTTGCTGAATATTTAAAAATCGACCATAGGATTGGTATGTCTCAACTGTGTTTAACACAGCTTTTGCTTTGGCATTCCATTGTCTTGATGCACTTATTTTGTGTAAATCTCACTGCAACCTATATGAGTTGTAAAATGTGTAAATATACCTTCATACAGATTTATAAAGTTTGGTTATCTGCGTTTGATTTAAATGTTTCTACCATTACACTGTGGGACATGTAAAAGGTCATGTAAACCAGCTTTGTTCTTACCTGTGATGGTGCCATGAACCTGGGTTCCATTCTTCAGTTCAATGGTCACAGTCTCATGGCTGAGCTTCATCAAAAACCTGTGGACATCACAAATAAAACACCTGGATTTAAGGGATTGTTGTTGTTGAGCCTAGCATTAGCATGGTAATCAGACTGGTTAACTGATGTAATTTTTAATGCAATAAATCCCGAAACAAACGGATACATTCAAACAAATAAAATGTTTATACTAAAAAAAAAAACCTCTGCTTTGTTTACAGATCACGCGAAGCAGAAAGAGACACCAACTAATAGGCCAATGCTAACGTACCGATGTTAAGCTAGCATCAACATAACCTTATCCTAGCCTAAAAGATTAACACCTGCATTCAGGATATTTCCAGATATTTTAAACCCCATGGAACCTGACGTCTCTGTACCCCTAACGCTTTTTAATTTGCCCCAAGTTGTTAGTCGTAACAAAAGACAGACTCCATTCATTTCAGAGCTCTTCCCGCCTCTTCACCATCGGTTCACCTCCAATCCTAACCCATCCGTCCGCATCGGCTCAGTTTTCTCATCCCATATTCTCGCACAGGTTAGAGGGTGACCCCCCGCTGCCGCCTACCTGACTAGTTTCATGGTGGTGGCAAACAGCAGAGTAAAATCCTCCACTGAAGAGAAAAATTACAGCGATCGAGTGAAAACACAGGCCGCTGTTGTACGTAGAAGAAACGTTCAGGGATGTGGCGTCATCAAACGGCTACTAAGAAGAGGAGACATTATGAACTACTGCCACCTAGTGGTAGAAATGAGGTCATTAACACATATATAGATTTTTTATTTATATACATATTTATTTAGGTCTAACTTGGTACAAAGTCTTTTTTTTTACTTTTGATTTTGCGTTTTTTTTTTCTTTGCCAGAAGATGTATGACCTTTATCTTTCTCTTACTTTTTCCCCCCAAAACAGCCTTATTAGTAATTTTCTTCAACATTTCAATAAAATATTGAAGATTTAATTATTATAATTAATTAATAATTATTATCAAATTAAGATTTAATTAAAACTAATACATATCTTATCTTCTATTCCTCCATAAGGTTTGAGTGTTTTCTTCTGGTGTTTCTTAAAAGGAAGTAGTTCTCACTCATTTATGACCTAAATGGTAATTGTTCAAAGTATTTTACGTTCTTTTAATGTTCATAAGTTAAATAAAAGTCCTGTATAAATTTTACTTCCTAGAGACTCTCAAAGTATTACTCATTTTGCTGTACCTCCTTCTTGCTTACTTTAAACAGTTTTAAAAAACCCATCAGTTTGAATTTTAAATTTCTTATATTTATCAGTACCTGGGTAATTTCCTATTCTAATTTTGTAGTTAAACTTA